GAATAGTCTTCTTAATAGCTTGAATAACGATAAAAAAAAATAAAAAAAAGGAAATTAAGATATTTTGAAGCAGATTAAATTTTTTTGTTTATAAAACGCAACGATCAAAAATCAAATTTATCCAATCAAAATTTGAATAGCATAAATTTGAAAGAAAAGTTGAGTAACTTTATGCGCAAAGAAACTTTTGCAAAGACTTTTATTTTTTATATCTTTAAATTTTAAAAATAGAAAAATAGAAGTAGAAGGTTAACCATAAAAATACAGAATTTTGGACCCCCCCCCCTATTATTATGCAAAAATTTATTATCCCTGGTTATACTTTGCTTTGTTAACTAAACATCAAGTAATAAAGTTTATTAAGTTCAAGGTTTGACCTGCAACTGCTATAAAATATTACCAGACATACTATTAAAAATAATTACTAGTGTTTTGGCTAGTAAAATAAAAAGCATTATAGTAAAAATTATTTGTAATATGTGAAATTTATTTAGAACATAACCAAAACCAGAGAACTTTCTGATCGTGAACAATTAGATTTAGAATTAATACGTAAGTTTTATCTTTACAGTCTAAAAAATTATATAAGATATGAATAAAAATATAATTTATAAATGTATATTTTTAATAATTATATAATCATATTTAATTATTTAATTTGCTCTTAAGCACTAATTTTTAAAAACCTTTAAACTTTTATATACTTTATTTCTTAGTACAAATGTTTTTTTTAAATGTTTTTTTTTTTGTTTTACTTAATATGTGTTCATGTACTTCATTTTATTCATTAAGAGAGACTTATTAGATCATACTTTAACATCATCAGAAAGAATATTCAAGATAGGTATTTTACTTTAAATTACTTTAATAATAAGAAACAACACAGTCGTTAGAAAAATTACTATGGCTCCAACTATGTTTAGAGGAAAAAATGAACACTAGTAGCATAATATTTTTATAGTGTCCCAAAAGCTGTAATGTGTTTTCTTGTCAACCATGTCAAATCTAAAATTCAAAGTGATTTGGTTGAGCAACTTTATAAGGTAATTTTAAATTTTTATTTTATTTTATAAAAGTCTTCAGAGACTTCTTATACGGATAAGCGATATTTTAATCTCATTTAAAAGTTAAAACAATTAAAAAAATGCTGAAGGTCATTAAGTTTTATTGTTTTTTTTTTTTAAAAAAAAGTAAATAATTGTAACTAGAAATTTTTTTATTCAATGGTTTTTTTTAATTTTTTTTTATTGTTGTATAATACTTTTAAAATATGCAAGGAGTGTTGCTTTTTTTTTGCTTTGAAACATGCACTGAGTGTTGCTACATTAGCTATGTATCTTATAGCCTGCTGCTACAAGGGAGTGCTGCTACATTGACTATCTTATAACCTGCTGCTATAAGGGAGTGCTATATTAACTATCTTATAGTCTGTTTCTACAAAAGAGTGCTGTATCGACTGTTTATAGCCTGGTGCTACAATGAAGTATGGCTACATCAACTGAGAGTTAACTTTTTCTGGTCTGGTTTATTAGCGTTAGATTTAAAACAATAGTTTACGGAAGAAATTTACCATGCAGTACTATACACACACACACATATATAGTGAATTGAGGCAGGATGCGGCGAGATGCCATTCCGTCACCTTTTTATAAAGTATTAGCCATCCCGCCACCTTTTTATAAATCTCTACATATAACAATGATTAGGCGAAATGGTATTTTTAATTTAGTGGAAACCATCTTGTTACTTTTTTTAATTCTAATGAGAATATCTTTGATAACAAGTACAGTTATACAATTGTACTTGTTATCAAAGATATTCACATTAGAATTAGCTTTAAATATTTTTCAACTGGTAAAATCCTATAAAGTCTTCAAAAGGGTTCAAATCTTTATCTACAATTCGAAGACAAAACAATAGCTGTTCTTTATTACTATTATCAATACCTTCATGGGAAATAATGGAAAAAGAAAACATGCTTTTGCGGATCTTTTTTAACTTTTCTTGTAATGTTAGAGTAGCTAATATATCCAAAATCTTATTTTGCACCTCGTTATGTGTATACTTGTAACCTTTTATTTTATCAAGTTGATCTACAAATATTTTTGTACCCATCATGACCTTGCAAAACTATAAATTGTAGTCCAAGGTAATGTAGGCATTGAATGAATTCCAAAAGATATTTTAGTTCTAAAGCTCTCCTATTGAAATCTGCTATGCATTAGTTCTGCAATATAAAAACTGCTTATCCATCAACTCCGCAATATATAAACTTTGCCTGACTTTAGACAACATTAAGCCAATATAATGAGGCATGTGTCAGTGCATGTGTCAGTTCATGTGCATGATGTCAGGTCAGGTTTATCCTGCTACTGGTAAAATGTAACCCAGTACAATCTGCTTCATGTCCTGCTGCCTTGTAGCATATGCCTTTTTAGGCAAAGGCTAGGAGATGTAAACTCCGACATAAAACACCCCCTGCCTTGGGGCTCTTGGTTGAGTAAAGGCTAGAGATGGTGTCTCGATAAAAATACTCATCTTGGGCAGATGTTACATGCATCCGGCTGCTGTCTTGTAGAAGGCCTCCTAGGCAAAGACTTAAGGGGTAAACAGATTCTATCTGTTGACCAGCCTCCCACCCCTTCGTCATCTATTAGGCTGGCGCAGATGTATTTTTAATACATTGTTTCCAGTTTAGGATGTTGGACGCTGGATCTTCTTGACTCATTTCATGGGTTTTGCTTGTGTCTCTGTTTTTATGACTAGGCAACTCATTCTATTATCTCCAAATGAGGGTACAGCTCTAAAACTCAGTTTTATGGTTCTGAGGCCGGCTGGTAGTCAGGTTTCCCGAACTCTGTGGTAGCTCTCAGAGAGGCTGATTCCATCAACAGCTGAAAAATATCAGAGTACTAACAGTGCCATGTTGCGCATGGATGGTGTCCCTGTTTGTACTTTTGGTGTGCATTGCCAAGGCCACATTGGAGCCCTTTGTTACGGCTTAGGGTTTATTAGTGGAAATGAGGCAATTGCTTGAGCTATAGAACTGTGTACTGAGTACTATCTATGTTTCAAGTCAAGTTCTTTAACAAATTTAAAAATGAATAAAGTAACAAAAGCTATAAAACACAAAAAACCACAGTCATCACCAAGTTCGCTAAACCTATCATTCACCAATATTCGTGGTCTTCGAAGTAACTTTTCTTCTGTTGAGTCTTATCTCTTGCAAAGTTCACCAGACCTACTTGCTCTTTGTGAGACTAATTTGAGTTCAGCTGTCTCATCTTGTGATCTTAGTGTTGATGGTTATCTTCCTTTAATTCATAAAGACTCTAATAGTCACATGCTTGGTCTGGGCATTTACATTCGTAAGAATTCACCCATTTGTCGGGAAACTAGGTTTGAATCCACAGACTACTCTTTTATGTGCTTTCATTTAGCACCACTTCATTCTATCACCTTTCTCTTTGTTCTATATCGCTCTCCCTCATCCCAAGACTGCACTCTTCTTGATGTTATTTCTGATTACATTGACCAAGCTCTCATTCTTTATCCATCAGCCAATATTGTTGTTGTCGGTGACTTTAATGTTCATCACACTGAATGGCTTGGCTCTAGTGTCAGTGACTCTGCAGGCATTAAGGCCCACAACTTTTGTCTTTCTCAATCCCTAACTCAAATAGTCAACTTTCCAACTCGCTTTCCAGACAACCCGAATCATTTACCTTCTCTACTCGACTTATGTCTTGTTTCTGATCCTAGCCAGTGCTCAGTTTCTTCACACTCACCCTTAGGTGCGTCTGATCATGGTTTGGTCTCTCTAAAACTATTATCTCATTCTTCTTTACCATTAGAATCCCCCTATCATCGTACATCTTACAACTACCTTAAAGCTGACTGGGACTCTTTTCGTGACTTTCTTCGTGATGGCCCCTGGGTAGAAATCTTTCTTCTCCCTGTTGACAAGTGTGCTTCTTACATAACTTCGTGGATTCAGGCTGGCATGGAATCCTTTATTCCCTCTCGACGATTCCAGGTCAAGCCTCACTCTTCTCCATGGTTTTCTTCACATTCTGCTGCTGCAATTGCCAATCGAAACCATTACTTCCATATCTATCAGCAAAACAATTCTCCAGCAAACAGACGTCTCTTTATTACTGCTAAGAACCATTGTAAAAAGGTTTTGTCTAACGCCAAAACCCGCTATTCTCAGATCATGAAATCTCGAATTTCATCACAAAAATTAGGCTCTCGTGACTTCTGGAGAATCTTTAATAGTATCAATAATAAGGGCAAATCTGTAATTCCACCTCTTTTGTATGGTTCAGACTTTGTCACCTCACCTAAAGACAAAGCTGAATTGTTTGCCAAGAACTTTTCATCAATATCATCTCTTGATGCCACTAGTTGCGTTTTACCTGATATACCCGTCAAACAGGTTGATCCATTGCTCGACATTCGTATCACTCCAGCTTCAGTATCTAAAGTGATTTCCCGCTTAGACTCTTCTACAGCTTGCGGCCCGGACAACATACCTGTTACAGTCTTGCAGAGGTGTTCTCCGGAGCTGTCGTCTATCCTTTCAAAACTATTCAACAAGTGCTTATCAGAGTCTTGTTTTCCAGCCTGCTAGAAGCAGCATCTGTTATCCCTATTTTTAAAAATTCTGGAGAGCGATCTGACTCATCTAACTACCGTCCCATTAGTCTTCTTCCTATCATAAGCAAGGTTTTTGAATCTTTAATTAACAAACACTTAATCTCTCATCTCGAATCTCATAACCTAATTTCTGATCATCAGTATGGATTTCGATCTTCTCGTTCTACGGCTGATTTGCTATCAGTAATAACCGATAGGTTTTATCGCGCATTAGATAAAGGTGGAGAGGTTAAGGCCATTGCTCTTGACATTTCTAAAGCGTTTGATAAAGTTTGGCATGCTGGTCTCCTCCATAAGCTTTCTTCTTATGGTGTCTCTGGAAACATCTTTAAGATTATTGAATCCTTCCTTTCCAATCGTAGTATAAAAGTTGTCCTTGATGGACAGCACTCTTCTTCTTATTCTGTAACCTTAGGGGTTCCCCAAGGTTTAATCCTTAGCCCTATACTCTTTTTAATTTACATTAACGATCTTCCAGATATTCTCACATCTAAGGTAGCATTGTTCGCTGATGATACTACCATTTATTCTTGTCGCGATAAGAAGCCAACTCCCTCTGATTGCTTGTAGGGGGCATCTGAGCTTAAAAAGGATCTTACTTCTGCTACAGCATGGGGCTCACAGTGGCTGGTGAACTTTAATTCAGATAAAACTCAATTTTTTTCGGCCAATCGTTATCGCAATAATTTAGACCTTCCTATATTTATGAACGGTAATGTACTCGATGAGTCTCCTACCCTTCATCTTCTAGGATTAACTCTTACTTCTGATCTTTCTTGGAAACCTTATATCAAATCCGTTGCAAAATTAGCATCTGCTAAAGTTGCTTCTCTTTATCGAGCTTGTCACTTTCTTACTCTGGATTCTATTCTCTATCTCTATAAATCTCAAATCCGGCCTTGTATGGAATACTGTTGCCATATCTGGGGCGGATCTTCTAATGATGCCCTTTCTCTTTTAGACAAGATGCAAAAACGCATTGTTAACATAGTTGGACCTGCTCTTGCAGCCAACCTTTAACCTCTGTCACATCGTCGTAATGTTGCTTCTCTTTCTCTTTTCTACAAATACTATAATGGGCACTGCTCGAAGGAGCTAGTGTCTCTTGTGCCATCTACTAAAATTCATTTTCGTGTTAATCTTCATTCAATTAAGTCTCATCCTTTTTCTGTTACTGTTCCTAAGTGTTCCAAAAACTCTTATTCGTCTAGTTTTTTCCCTCGAACATCAGTTCTTTGGAATTCGCTTCCTTCATCTTGCTTTCCTGATTCATATAATTTGCTATCTTTTAAGTCGTCTGTCAATCGTTATCTTGCTCTACAATCTTCATCTTTTCTCTTCCAGTAACTTCCAACACCAATAAGTGGTTGCTTGCAACCTTGTTGAAAGCGAAGATAATTAAAAAAAAAAAAAAAAAAAAAATGTGTCATGTCAAATAATGGTGAGTCTGAAAACAATTTGGAGCTTTTTTCCATGAAAAGTAACCTTTAGTAATATTCTTTATTTCTATGATCTTTTAGGTTTCACTTTCTTTCTTTAGTTAAGTTAGATAAAATAACTCACCAAAATAACTAATTTTTTTACTTGCAGAGTTACCACTAAAACTAATAAATACATTCGATTTATTTTTGCCAAAAGTAGTTTAAAGTATTTTTATTTATATAATAGTATTCAATTTTTTTTCAGCAAAAAATCAACATTACTTTGCAAAATTCTAATTCTTTTTAATTAAAAAGTTATTTTTAATTAAAAAGAATTTTTGTTTTGAATAAATGTTAAAAATGACAAAACAAAAATATATAGAAGTTTAACTATCAAAGAAGCAGTATTTCCAAAATAGGCATTGATGTGGTTATCAAGCTTTTGGACTTGATGTCTTGTTGTTATCAAGCAGTAATTGATTCTAATTTCCCAATAAAGTAATAAACAATTTTACTTCAAATTAAAAAATTTTCAACTGAAAGTTTTTTTAAAAAAATGTTTACTTTAGATGTCTTTTTCCATCTCATTACTTTTGCAAAAATTTCAATAAAATAAACTTTTTAGATTTCTTAGATTTGTGTTAGTTCATTTGTTTTTACTTTTGAAATATTTTGACATCCTAGTGAAAATTTTAAAGAAACTTTTAAATAAACATAAGTCAACTAAACTTTTGAATAAAAATGGCTTTTCATTTAAAAAATATGTTGATCTCTTGTCTGGTTACTTTTGCATGCTACTATATAATAAATAACAATTATAATGGCATTTTTTTATATTATTATCACCTCCCTTTAGAGGCTCAAGAGGGGGGAAATACAGTTAACGAGACTTTTTTATTTGAAACTTTAAAACTGGTTTTAAAATTTTTTTGTTCAACAAATCTGAGAAATCTGAGAAAGATTTTTTAAATCGTTTTTTGTTATGTTATTGTTGTTATTGTTACAGTTGTTATGTTATTGTTGTTATTGTTACAGTTGTTATTGTTATTGTTACAGTTGTTATTGTTACAGTTGTTATGTTATTGTTGTTATTGTTATTGTTACAGTTGTTATTGTTACAGTTGTTATGTTATTGTTGTTATTGTTATTCTTACAGTTGTTATTGTTACAGTTGTTATGTTATTGTTGTTATTGTTATTGTTACAGTTGTTATTGTTACAGTTGTTAGTGTTACAGTTGTTATTGTTATTGTTACAGTTGTTATTGTTACAGTTGTTAGTGTTACAGTTGTTATTGTTATTGTTACAGTTGTTATTGTTACAGTTGTTAGTGTTACAGTTGTTATGTTATTGTTGATTCAATTGTATCTCTGAGATTTTTCTCTGACAAAAAAACTAACCAACACTATCTTTTTACCACAATATTTTTAATCTAATTTTTTGACTTCTCTATATTCATCAAAATTACATTTTCTACATTTAAAAGCAACAATATTAGAAGTAACTTGTATACCACGCTATCTCTTACAAATCTATTACACTTTCCAGTATCTTCTTGCTTATTCTTGACTTATGCATAAACTTTATTTTGTTCATGTCTATTCTATACCCTTTTGCTTTAATTTTTTCTAGCCAATACTGAAATCTTAGTATTAACTAGGTGTTATTATATTAAGAAAGTGTTTAATTAAGTGTTTAATTAATGTATTATTACTAAAAATCCAAATGGCTCTAGTCTCTTTGCTTAAAAACTTTGTTCTTGAGCAAGCAATTCATTAAATATGTATTTAATTAACTTTTCAACTATTTTATTAGAGTGAACTCTTTGATGACTTATTAAGTGAAGCTGAACATATCCATATAAGGCGCAAAGAAAATTTAAATATGTTGCAGGTAGTTTATTATGTTATGAAATTTTTGTGCTGTCAAATTTTTTAATAAATGTTTGTCGCTTTTTAACCATTTACAAAATATTTTAATTTTTTGTAACCATCTATAATAATGTTGTTTTATATTTATTTTATATTTATATTGTTTTATTTTTATATTTATTATCTACTTCTTATGATTTTTGCTTTGTCAAAGTTTTTATTGTAGAGAGATTATATCTTAAATGTTAAAATTATATTTTAATTAGGCTTTACAGAGAGCTGCTCACATAACTGCAGATATTCGTGATTCCAATGTTTCATTGTGATCAAGTTTGTTAATTGAAGTTGGTTGTTTCACAAGTTTTTTGCTGCTTTCTAGTCAAACTTATTATTCTAAAAGAGTAATTAAAAATAAAAATAATTAGTTAACCATTATTTTTTTTCAAAACTGCAATTTTAAAAAGTTACGAAAGCGATTACATAGCACCCATTTTTATTGTTTTAAAAACGAAAAATTTTCAAATATATGAATTTGGATAAATTATAAATAATTTTTTTTTACTTTCTCTTTTCATTTTTTATTTTATTACACATTTTTTATTTTGTTACTTTTTTACTTTTTGTTTTTGTTTTTGTAACTGTACAAGAGTTTCATCTGTTTTTTTTTTGTTTTTTTTTGCGCTTATAATCCTCAAACAAACTTGTGGTACCTTACTGACACAAGCAAATATGTTGTGGTACCTTATTGACACAAGCAAATATGTTGTACTGTTATACATCATTATTTTAATGCTGCAATTTTTCAATTGTGAAAATATTTATTTACACCTTGTTGAACAATTTTTATGAGTTGTAGAGTATATGCCCAAATATAAAGTTATTTTGTTATATTTTGTTATAAAAAGGTAATTCTTGAGTTAGGTTCTTTCAAAACGATATATATATATATATATATATATATATATATATATATATATATATATATATATATATATATATATATATATATATATATGATTTAAATGTTGACATCTTGTATGAGAGTATATATGTTAAAAATATAAAAACATCAATTAATATGAGTTCTCTCAATACTATTATTAAATTATTTGAATTTTTCGCTGGATTATAGTTACCAGCATCATCAGCTATAATATCGTAATATATACATTACGATATTATAGCTGCTATAATATTGTAATATATACATTACGATATTATAGCTGATGATGCTGGTAACTATAATCTAGCCAAAATTTTAAATAATTAACAATAGCATTGAGAGAACTCATATTAATTAATTTTTATATTTTTAACATATATACTCTCATACAAGATGTCAACATTTAAATCATATATATATATATATATATATATATATATATATATATATATATATATATATATATATATATATATATATATATATATATATATATATATATATATATATATATATATATATATATATATTTAAAATTATAAAAAAAATTATTATAGTCTTGTAAAAGTTATTATAAGATTAATTATACTAATTTGAATATGCTGACTCTCTACTTATTTATATTTTATGTTGTTCTGGCAATAGTGTCTTTTTTTAAACTTTAGAGCTCTCTAACAGAACAGAACTCTCTTTTTTTAAAAAGGTGTGATAATACTTCTATAAAACCTCTCAAAAAAAACCTTGCTTATTTAAAAATGATTTCAATATAGTATTTGTAACTATGTGTTGAAAATTTTAAGTGTTATGTAATGATACCATTTTGTATCATTAATGGTATCATTTGTTTTAAGGGTTAGAGTCGGCACAAGCAACTTAGTATTATCTTTTGTACAACAATTACAACAATAGGCTGATTTTTTTAGTTTGCAGTACCACTATGTAAAATGTTTTTTTATATTACCATTAAAAGTGAGATTTGGAGGGGGGAAGATGTTAAGTTTGATGTTTGATTGTTGTGCAAATAATGTTCTATGACTATTATACTAGTTACAAATTCATAAAGTTTTATATTAGTTACAAACATTTATAAATGTTTATAAATATTTATTATAGTTTATGTAACAAACATTTATAAACTTTTAAAATGTACCTACAATAATTAATTATTGTACAAATAAATGATTTAATCATATTAATAAGTAATATTTATACGTAACATTTAAAGAATTATTAAAAATTGATAATTTAAAATAAGATTTTGAAATCAAATCTAGATAATAATGTATGAATAAAAATAATAAATGGTTATAAATTTTTTCATTTTATTTGCAAGTAAATGAAATTTAAAAATAGTAATAGTTAATAATATAGATAATAATAATAGTTTTAATTTCTTTTTCTTTTTTTTTTTTTTGCAGATATTATTGAAAATTATTATAACTTAGTAATATAAGCATGGTTATACTCTAACTTGTGAGATTTTTTTAAAAATGGAAAGACTTCCGACAGGATTTTATAAAGAAGAATTAAACAGAACCACATGGGAAATTCCAGAAAGATATCAGGATTTAAATGTAATTGGAGCAGGAGCTTATGGTCAAGTTTGGTAATTTTCAAAACATGTTTTTGTAAATGCATTTTTTTCTGCTATTTCTTTATAATTTTATTTTTGCATCCGTATATATTTAATGTCTCTAAATTTGAATTGTAGTTCACTTAATTTTTGCTTTTTGTTTCTTTAAAATTATGTCTTATGTTTCTCTAAACATTAAAATCTCTATTGGCCTGTTTGGGACAGTTTTTCTAAACCTGTTTCATGTTTTTTTAAACTTTTGTTTTGTGTATTTCTAACCCTATTTTTTTACATTTTGTGTTATAGTTCTTGAATAATCTTTTATCTGAAATTAAAATAAAACCACTTTTATATAAGATGATATTTTTATTGATATATTATTATTTTTAAAGTTCAGCTACAGATACTCATACTGGTATGCAAGTAGCAATCAAAAAGTTATCAAGACCATTCCAGTCAGTTTTGCACGCAAAACGTGCTTATCGTGAAATTCTTCTACTACAACATATGTGTCATGAAAATGTATTTTTTACTTGTTTTACTTTTACTAAAATTTTTGCATTGTAATAGTATATATATATATATATATATATATATATATATATATATATATATATATATATATATATATATATATATATATATATATATATATATATATATATATATATATATATACACACATACATACATACATACATACATACATACATACATACATACATACATACATACATACATACATACACAGTCAACTCTCAATATCTCGAACACTAAGGGGACTGAGAAAAATAGTTTGAGATATCAAGAGTTCGCAACATCAAGAAAAGGGTTGAAAATAAATAAAATCCCTTTCATTAAAACATAATATTTTTCTGACAAAAATCATTGACAACAAAAACTATAAATTTCGGAAAGAATCTTTTATCAGATTTTGCTTCAAACTATCCATCTTTTTCATCTTCATTAAAGTTTTTCTGTATAACAAAGCATTTTGAATCATTTCAAAAGCATTTTCTAATTGAATATCAGATAGGCATGACAGGGCTTCGACGTCAATACCTTCGTCAAAGCTATCTTCAACTTCATTATCATCCTTTTCAAAGTTAGGGTCTAAAATCTGAGCAATGATTTCAGCATCAGTAGCAAGTGAACCAGTGGTTACTACATCAAAATTTAAATCAATATAAGATTCTGCTGAGAGATCTACTCAGACAGCAAAACTCTTGCAAATGGGTAATTTTAAAAGGATGATCATCATCAGCTTCTTTTATACTCTTGTTTGTTTTGCTGATACCAGCTTTTTTAAAGCAGTTGATGACAGTCTCCTTTGACACAGCATTCCATGAAGAAACAAGATCTTTCATTGCTTAAAGTATAGAAATTTTCATTCACTATGAATCACTACAAAGTTTCTTCTGTTTGGATTTTGTGCAATTTTTTTCCAGTGAGCTTAATAACTTGTTTTATTTTTAATCCTGGTTGAAATTGTGTTCTTTGGGACATCATACTTTTCGAAAATTGGAATTTTCAAAAATTAAATGTTATTAAAACATTTCTTGAAAAAAAAAATATAGTTGACTATATATATATATATATATATATATATATATATATATATATATATATATATATATATATATATATATATATATATATATATATATATATATATATATATATATATATATATATATATATATATATATATATATATATATATATATATATATATATATATATATATATATATATATGTATATATATATATATATATATATATATATATATATATATATATATATATATATATATATATATATATATGTATATATAAAAGTTTAATAATAGGTTTAATAATATTGTTAGTTTAATAATATTGTATAATAATATAAATAGTTTAATAATATTGTTTATTAAATTTTTTATATACTTTAATCTAAAAAGATAAAAAGCAGTTTTTGATAAGAGTAGTTTTGATAAAAGATAAAAGTTGTTTTTATCATTTAAATTTTTGCAATTTTGAAAAAATAAATTAGGTCCTCAGTTAGAATTAACATGATAAATAGATTCTTAGTAAACAATACTATGAGATGTACAAATTTTTAACATGTAATACATATCTTCATATTCTCATTCTCTCTAAAGTAATCTTTATATGTTATGTATTATTATTATTTTTTTTTTTTTTACTAAACTTTTTTTTTTTACTAGAGTAACTTTTTTTTTTTTTTACTAGAGTAACTTTTTTTTTTTTTACTAGAGTAACTTTTTTTTTTTTACTAGAGTAACTTTTTTTTTATTTACTAGAGTAACTTTTTTTTTTTTACTAGAGTAACTTTTTTTTTTTTTACTAGAGTAACTTTTTTTTTTTTTACTAGAGTAACTTTTTTTTTTTTTACAAGAGTAACTTTTTTTTTTTACTAGAGTAACTTTTTTTCAAGGTAATAAATCTGCTTGATACATTTACTCCACAACAGACTATAGACGAGTTTCAAGATGTGTAAGTTTTTCTGTTTAAATAATATTTGAGTTTGATTTTTTTTTCTATCTGTTTGCAACTTGTATTTTTTATCCTGTATGTTCTTAATTTGATGTTTTTACTTGGGTTTTTTTTTTTAAGCACATAGAAAGTTTTTTTATATTGTTTAAATTTACCTAGTTTGAGGTTTTTTTTACATTCTTATTGTTAACAAGATTGTGAAACTGTTCTTGCAGTCTTGTTTAACAAGGTTAAACAAGACTGTGACTGTGTTAAACAATAGTGTGGAACTGATTAACATTCTTTCAGTCTTATTTTAGAAAGTTAAACAAGACTTAAACACTCTTGCAGTCTTTTTTACCAAGGTTAAACATGAGTATAAGACTGAAAAACACTCTCACAGTCTTCTTTAATAAGATATTGGAATTTAAGGTTGTGAGAGAGCTTCAAATTAAAAATTAGAAGAAAAATAAGTTTTTTTTTTTGCCTACTCATGAGTAGCCTACTCAACTCTAGCAGATGATTTTAATTTTTAAAAAAAGTAAGTTCTTTAAAAAGAACTTGTTATTATGCATAAATAATGCAACTCTAAACTATGCAACTCTAAATTTATTTAAAAAATAGAATTAAAAAATCGTTTTCTTTTTTGCCTAGTGATTTTTAATGTTAAAGTTAAAGCGCTATTTTTGGTTTAATTTTAAAGACTGCAAAAAAAAAAAATTTTTTTTTTGTTTTGTTTTGCTGATTAGTTACATTTTGCATTTTGAAACTTCTCTTATTACAGTTTTTTCTTTTTTTAATTGCTATACATAAGTTGATTGTAGTATTTTACTTACTGTAATATATTACTCTGCATATATATATTTGTTATTAGATATTTAGTAACGTGTTTGATGGATGGAGATTTGAAAGACATTATAAAAATTCAAAGCCTCACTGATGATCATGTGCAGTTTCTTATATACCAGATTCTTAGAGGACTAAAGGTATAATATTTTTTATTTTGCTATTGACATATTATTTGGATTTACCATTGCAAAGAATATAATATAGATAGTATATAATAATAGTTTAAACAAATTTTTTTTTCAAATATTTGTAATAAAATTTTTTTTTAAGTTTTGAAAATACTTTTTTGAAAACAATTTTATTGTAAAGTTTTTTTTATTGTGTTTTTTTAATATTTTCAAGTTACTTTTGTTTTAGTACATCCATTCAGCTGGAATCATACACAGGGTAAGTTTCATTCATTCATACACAGGGCATATTTTAACTTTTTAATTAATATAAATAAAAATCCTTGTATAAATATTATTCCTTAATCCTTAGTCAATGTGAACACTAAAGCCCTCATTTACATTTATTGCAGTATGTCATCAGTATGCATTACATGCATTGGTAAATTTGCTTGTTTTATATATCTATTCATATTATATATATATATATATATATATATATATATATATATATATATATATATATATATATATATATATATATATATATATATATATATATATATATATATATATATATACATATACATATATATATATATATATATATATATATATATATATATATATATATATATATATATATATATATATATATATATATATATATATATATATATATATATGTATATGTATATATATATATGTATATGTATATATATATATATATATATATATATATATATATATATATATATATGTATATATATATATATATATATGAACACACACACATGCATATATGAATGCAGCATTATATGCACACTGATGACATCATACTGGGCTTCAGTACATACATAGACCATCTAATAGAAAGAACATGCTAGGATTGCCACTACATATACTAAGAGTTTGGGTTGAAGCAGCAATCATTTTTTGTTTTTTCTTTTTTTTCTGTTTTGTTTTTTCTTTTTCTGAAACTGACATTCTGATTTAAAATGGCATTTTGAAACTTAATCTATGTAACATAATTTAGAACAGCATTAACTTAAATAATATATATAAATTTAAAATATATTAGGATCGTGTAAAAATTGCTAATTTATGCATTTTATAAGGCTTTGATTCAAGACATTGAGTTTATTTTTTTGAATAATTTACCTAAAAGACAATTATTTATATCTAATAAACCAATAAAATTATAACAATTATAATTGCAATTTAGTGAAAAGTTTTCTTATTAACTATTAACTTTTCTAAAATTTCTAAAATTAACTAAGAATAATTTTTAAAAAAAGGTGAAAAAGAAACTGGGGCAAAAGATCAGATAGTCTAATACTTAAGTTGGCAAAAAAAAAATCTTTAAAAATTGATAAAACAATGTTATCAATCAATTTTCTTGAGGTTTATAATTCTTGTTGGTAGAAAAAGAAAAAAAAGTTGTTTAAGGTAATAGTTTTTAAATTCTCTGAAATAGCTTAATCCTAATTTGCTTTTATAAGATATATATTAAAACCACCCATCTTTGAGTTTTATTTAACAAAAGGTTTTTCAAAACAAATAAGTATAAATCTATTCATTTTTTGTTTTTTATGTTAGGATGATTATAAACAGCTAGGTTAATCACGGCTGTTTCAGAGTGAGCTTTACGGCTTCTTGTTTTTTTTGGAAAATATTGACTTAGGGGGTGTTACTAAAACATTTAATCAGAAAAATATATTTCTGATAATTATAATAACATACACTCGTTGTTTAACTATTATTAAAATAAAAAAACCTTACTTAATTGTTAAAGGTTAACTAAAACAGTCTTTATTGAGGTCTGCAAGCAAAACGCATTTTTTGCAAAATTATGAAAGATGTCGCTTATAGGAGGATTAACTTTTAATTGAGTACGTTTTTAAATATGAAAATAATTCACTAAGTTGATAAACTCAATGCATTACAAAATAAAGGCAGATTTTGAAATATTTAGTCTTAAAATGTTAAGTTAAAGCCTTTAAAAAATTTAAGCGATTACTTTCTATGCATACAGTTTTAATAATATTGTGAAAGGTTAATTGAATCAATCTCTTCTCACAAAAAATAAAACATTTGTTTAAATATACAACTAGCTAATTTAAATTGTTTGATAATGTGTTTTTATTCTCATAAAAAACTGTTTTACAATAAGTTGATCCACTGATAAGTTCTTTAAGTAGAAAACGACCTTTGTACACCTAGTTGATAATAAATCCAGGCTCAATTCTAAACCAGAAGAACAGTTTTTGTTCAACAGACTCACAATGGTGACAATAACTTTAACATTTTCTTTATTCAAACTGTATCTTTTAACTAACTTGTTATTTATGAGTCTTAAATTCTATTATTTAACCAGAGAAAAGGTATGTTGAGCAAAGGTACTGCAGAGGTAGAACTAACTTCTGATGATAATAATCGAATGGGCATCTAATATTTAAATTAAATGTTACATATAATAAAATACCATACGTTTTTTAAATTAACTACACAAACAAATATTTTATATCATAGCCATAGCTTCCTATCAGCTTTGCTGTGCAATTCAAAGCATTTTAAAACAAGACGCAGCTTCTGTTCCTGATTTCTTACTGAATGCAACTGTCTTAATTCCTTATTTACACTATTATGCAAACACTCTCCCTCCTCTTCACTTAGCAACCCAATAGTTTTATGCATTTTTACAAATAGTGGCACATTAAAAACAAGTTCATGCATTTTTCGCGTGATACTTTCTTTTGGAAAGCAAGCATGAAACTCTATAGCAAATAAATTTATATATTGATGAAGCTCAGTAATTTCGGCATCAGAAAGAAATTTTCGCTTAAAAAGAATAGGTTGCAACTTATTAAAAACACTAAACACACGTACAAATCTATTTTTATTAGCTTTATCATCAATAACACTACAAAGTTTATAGTGGTTTCTTAAGATTATTTTGCAATGATTACCTACAAACACATTACTATGATACGCTTGCCGCTCAACCTTCATATCTTCAAGGGCCTTATTAAGAGACCTCTCATGAGTCCCCATGCTACTTTTGGATTTTTTTTCTAGGTCTTCACACTCCATCTGCAATTTAATATATTCAACATCTAAAACTTCGCGTTGTGCACGTATAAAAGAAATTTTTTCAGAAATATAATGGGTAAGACATTCTATATTTTCACCCTGACATGCTAAACACTCGTACATCGCTATGTCACACAATACACTCTTTTCTGAATCACCAATAATTTCACAAAATTGATGAAACCATTTTTGGCACGTACCACACTGCACCCAATCACTGTTACAATCATATTTTGTAATTAAACACCTGATACTAGCACACATTTCTTGCTGTTTACAGGGTGTTTTTTTTTGGAGGAGTTTAGGGATATGCTATCTAATTTAGAAAAATTGTTTTCAAAAGCTAACCATCGCGCCTGTAGATTTGCAACGTCTACAAATTGATTTCCTAATAAATGCAAAGTTTCTGCTGTTTTAGAACATTCAATGCTTTTAGCAGCCCACAATTCATTCGTTCTCACAATCTCATTATGCGACAAAGACGAATCAGCTTGACAATCTAAAGTCCTACACTCCTTCAACAATAACTTATACAGTTTTAACACAACTCCTAACATAATATGCAAAACAGGTGGCACTACATTATCTAAAGTTATTATGGGGAAAATTACAGGAGCAATAATTGATTTATGAAACTTACCTAGAGCTCTTAAGTTTCCACCATGTCTATCTTCACACAAGTTCTCATTGTAAGCACTTTTCAGAGATTGTATTGTTCTCCTTAAGATGTTACAATTAGCAGGTGTGTGAGGCATAGAAGCATGGTTTCTAAGAGAACTCAATTCAACTAGATCTGTAGAACTAGGAAAGCTAGCAGCTGAACCCTGGTGTCCCAGAACATCATCGATGAAATGAAAATCTCCACCTAAGAACAACCTGACTATTTTGCCTTTTAGCTCAAAATCTGATGACTGAATTCTTTTAATGTCGTTGGCATAATGCCCAAGAATTAAGGCAATATTCTCACGACAATCTGAACCCTGATACATACAAAACAAATGAACATCATATACAGACCCTGATGATTTAGAATTGACAACTTCAAAATAGAATTTCATATACTTTCCACCCTTATCCCCAGCAAAAAGGAGCCATACCTCTTCGCCAAAGCCAACATCCGAATTAAGGTGGTCGCGTACATGAAGATCATTAAAAACCTCTTTAATATAAGTTGTCAAATTCTTGACCATCAGTACAGATACTAAACAAGGTGCTTCATTCGCAGATGGATAAAGTAACATGGACTTCACAGTAACATGTTCTTTATTGACATGCATTGTCCGCATTTCTTGTTCTTGTCTTATCTTGGGCTCAGATGGAAGAATCCTTGCACCAAGATTACACAGAATACGTCTTAGTCTACGGAATTCAGCCATGGGCATCCTTAATTGGCTCTGCAGCTCTACAGCATCAGAAACACTTAACTGCCTAACTAAACCTAACTTATTTGCCTAACTAACACTAACTAAACCTAACTTATTTGCAACACAACAAAACATAGACTTATCACAAGACACAGAATCACAAAACAACATAGACAAATCACTTTCTAAATCTGAACAAGCTAATAATCGAAAGAATATAAAAGCAAGTTTAGATCGTCTAACTACAGCATGCCTACCTAACTTAGAATAAGGTTTACCATGTCCTAACTTAATGTAAATATATTTTTTACCAACTATTGGCCTTTTAACTGATATAGTCTGTGGATTACTTAATTTAAATCCACAGAACAATTCAGAGGAACCAATGTTGTCAAAGTCTAAATAAGAATCAACAACAACTAAATCCTTATCACCGCTTAGAAGACATTTGCAAATTTGACAACAATACCGGTTTAAATCACTGATTTTTGCTTTGTTTTTTTCAAATTTAATTTTGTTTAGCAATCTTACATTTTTGGCACGAGCAGATGCAAATTTACGCTGTGCTGTTTTGATTTTTTTTTTTTAAATAAGTTGGAACTTCTCCTCCTGTTTTAGCCTAATACTCATAGCCTCTACTTGAGAACATAATGAGTTACAATGTGTACTAAGAGCCTCATTTTTAGAATTTAAATTACAAATTTCAGCTTCCAACTTTAATAACTTCAGTTTTAATTTCTCTATTTGCTCTACATTTGCTATATTTTCAGAAGTTAATTGGTCAACTTGACTACTTAGTTCCTTATTCCTATTTAGAAATGAAAATTCATCTGCATCTGCTGATTTTTTTTTTTTTTTTTCATTTGTAGAGCAGGAGACAGTTGCATTTTAAAAAAGGCTTCGTTTTTTGAAGCTTTATAATTGCTTTTAAAAAGTTTTTTTTTGCGTATTAAATTTTGGCAATATTATTGAACTCATCAAAACTAGGCAAATTAAAATCAATTGGCAATATAAAGCTCATTAAACTAAACAATGCTTTTGACTTAAAAACTGACATTAAAATTAAAATTACATTGTTAGTCATTTTATCGATGCTAATTAATCGCTTGACAAATGGAAAGTTACACTCATTTTCCCAACTATCGTCCCATTCAATCCATTCTATTAATAGTTTCCTTTCAGTAGAATACATAATGATAAATAAATCTTGTAATAAAAATATAACACAAACAATGCAAACAAAATAATATTTATTGACAAATAGATGAACAAGATATAATAGGATTAAAAAACTTATCTGATGTTTGTTGATTACTCACGAAAAAGAAAATTCGCCAAACTTTGTTTATTTTATACATCAAAATTTGTCTCGCTAAGAAAATTGTTTTCATAAAATTCATAACATATTGGGTTGGGACGTACAGTATTTAAGGCCACGTGATTGTTTTAAAATGTAAACAATATTTTGCGAAAAAAATTAGAAAAATTTGTTTCTAAACTAGCCAAGTTTGAAAACATGTCTTAACATAGCTGAAGGTACAGAAAACAATTTTTTGATTTTCTTATGCAGAAAGGGTTGAAATTTCAATAATTTGGTGCGGATTACAAAAATAATACGATTTTCATTATTTAATAATAAAAATAAAAATATAAATGCATTAAAAAATAATTAGAAAAAAAAAATAAGCAATCCGCATCAAAAGTTAGATAGAATAGACATTTATTTATATATGATCCAAATTTCAACCATTAAGCATGTAGCTATGTTAGGAAATCTTAGTTGACCCATGACAGGTTTTCCGTAAAAATCACAAATAACAGAAAAGTGATCCCAAATCATTAGCAATATCTTAATAATATAGCAATATCTTAATATTATAGCAATATTTTATTATAGCCCGTTTAATGTAAATATTTATTAAATAACAAAAAATAGATCTTTTATGTTTTTTTTTATTTGAAGATGAAAGCATTTATAGAAAAAAAATACTTTTATTTTAAAGTTAGTGAATTTTTATATTTTTTTATGCGGAAATACTTTTTTTTTTTGATAAACTCATGACGTCACGCTCACTTTTACATATAGTGAAACAGCCGTGTAATAACTATGTTCTCATTATTGTTATCATTGTTATTTAACTAAAAAATAAGGCAGTTAATGAGTTGATTGAAAGTATAAGATTCTTGATAGCTAGGATCAGAAAAAAGAAAAAGTTAGAAAGGTCATTATGAAGATCATTTAAAAATATTATATTGTCAATTGATGTTTGAAGATATTATTTTCATATTTCATATTTCAGTTCATTATTTACTATACAAGTGCATAGAGAATAAAGCAAACTAATAAATGTATAAAAAAAACTAACTTTGTAGTTTTAATCAAAGCTCGCCTTCTCCATTTTAGTGTGATTCTTAAGACTTTAAAATATATACTGCAATCTATAGACTTTAAAATTTATTCAAGCATGTTTAATTTGTAAGAGTTTCAGTATAAAAAATGACATCATTGTAGGTGTTTTTTTTAAAAAAAAAAACATTGGGATATTTTTTTCTCTCAGACAATTAGCAAATCACTTTATTTGTATTCACTAAATCTCAAAACATATTTATTTATAAAGTTAGCATCTTTGTTTTTTTTAAGTTTTATTAAAGAAATTAATTATAAAGATTGTCAGGATACATTTATATATTTTGATATAATTATAAGTTTCTATACATAATACGTATATTTTTTGCCATGGCGCAGTGGTTAGAGCGCTTGCTTTATAAGTAAGAGATCCAGGTTCGAAACGAGCTCTGGACATATTTTTGTGTGACGGTATGGAAGGAGGTATGAAATTCCTGGTTAAATCCACTTCCACGGTACTCTGTCACGGCTGTTACACTGTCACTAATACTCAGTATATGAAAGAATTTTTACTGCGAATTGCAAATAATTATCTCAAGAAATATACAACTTTTTTTTTATTCTGTAAAAAGTATTATTTATATAACACATAAGAACAGTAGTAAAGTATTATATTAGGTAATTTAAAAAGTTTTTACTCGAATCATACCTTATTATTTTAGAAAAAAAATGTTTAAAAAATTTTTTTTTATAATTTTGAACAGAATATTTCCTTAAGTATTACTCTCAACCTCTCAAGATATACAACTTATAATACAACTTTTTCTCATTATGTAAAAAGTATTATATAAACAATACTTTAGAGAAAAATATTATATTGAGTAATTAAAAAAAGTTTTACTCGAATTGTAACTATTACTTTCGAAAAAATAAATTCAATTTTTTTTTTAATCTTGAACAGCATATTTTTTTAATAAAGCTCAATATTAAATAATATTAAATAATATTAAATCATTGTGTAAGTTGTTACAGACTGTAACAACTTACACAATGAGGAAATGCTGTGCTTTGATGAGAAAATATACAGTGGCAGGTCGCGGTAACTTATTGTGGTGCGCCACTAAAACAACCTATCTAATGAGGAAATGTTAAATTTACTATGCAAGGGTGTAGTGAGAATTTTTTTACCCAGGGCAAAAATGTAAAAAAGCGTCTTTTTTACAATAAAATTAAAAAGTATTGCTTTTCATAGTAAAATAAACTTTTTACTTCTCGTTTTTTTTGGCGCCCCTTTTAGCCTTCGAGCCCAGAGGCGATTTCCCACTTGGTTCCTCGCTACATTACTGAGTTGGTAAAAACAAATAGCAGATACTCAAATAAAAAATTAGAAACATTTTTCTTACAAACTGTTCACTTAATACAATTTAATGATAAAAAAATGCTACAGAACAAAATTTTATTTTTTTACAGGCAAGTTGTTTTTGTTAATTGTTTGTTTTATTTTTCTTTTAGTTATATATTAAGTACAAACAGTTAGGCGTAATCATTTATGATTTGCCTTATTTACTCTTTATGGATTAATAGAGTGTTTGAATAAACAAGTTTTCTGTTAAAAAAAAGATTATAGTTGTAAAATTACAAAAAAAGCATTAAGAATTTCTTGAAAATTAAACTTATTAAATCTAATTTCGCTTATTAACGCGAGCAACTAAGCATATAATTTTTTTATATAATACGAGACAACTTGTTGATAAATTTGTACTTGAATCGGCACATTACACTATTGAAAAGTTATAGGAAAGTGTTATAGGATTTTGAAAAATATTATGTGATGTTCTTAACAATTTAAGTAGCGGATTTCAACAAACATATTGCAAAGTCTTTAAAACACAACGCATAAAAATTTTTGTCAAAAGCTTTTGTAGTTATCACGCAAAATGTTTTTGTATATAGCTCATTTTCTAGCTTTTTTATAAAAAGTTTTATTTTACTAGTAAAATATTGATTTTGATTGTTAAAATAATGAAAGTTATTATTTCACTTGAAAAAAAAATATTTATTTACTAATATTGTTTGGTTATTTAACTGTACATTAAAAAAATAATAAAGACTATTGAAGAAATATATTTTCTTCAATAGTCTTCATTATTTTTTTACACCTAAAAAAAAAATTTATTATATTTTTCAGTATACATAAACTTTAAAAATTTAGTTGTTCATTTTTAATAAAATTCAAAAGTATTTTTGAAGTTAAAAAGCTTAAGTAACAAAAAAAGCTTAAATAACGCAACTTAAGCGTTTTTACTAGAAATATAAATTTTTATTAAATTTTTCATTAAACTTTTCTTTTTACTTTATTAGCTTTTTATTTTTGTGTTTCTGTTTTTAATATTTTGGTTTTCTTTTTGCTTGTAAAATAGGACTTAAAGCCTGGAAATATAGGTGTTAATGAAAACAATGATCTTAAGGTACCTTTTAAATATTGTTTTATGTTGTTATCAAGGATAAATGTAATAAAAACATGCATTATTTTTCTGCACTATATCGAACTTAGATTTAAGGTTATAACAAATATATTAAAATTTACTATTCTTTTTCTACATGTAATATTTGCAATTAATAGATACTAGATTTTGGGTTGGCTAGGATATGTGAAGACTCAATGACCAGTTATGTTGCAACTAGATGGTATCGAGCACCTGAGATTATACTTAACAGAACGCAATATAACTCACAAGGTTATTATTCTTTTTTTTTTGTACACATAAATACATTAATAAATCCATATATAAGTACATACATACATACATACATACATACATACATACATACATACATACATACATACATACATACATACATACATACATACATACATACATACATACATACATACATATATTTTATCAAATAAACAGAATATTATGAAAAATAAATTTTTTTTAATGTTTTTGCTTTGACATAGTTATTAGCCACAACAAGTTTTGAAGAAAAATTTTGTTTTACACAATTTTCTGAACTCGCTCAACAAACTCAAATTTAAAGAATTACAAGCAATTTGTTTTAGCATTTTTTTATAATTAAATAATGCACCAAATTCCATATTAAGGTTTGAACAGCATTATTAATCAACAATGATTAATAAATACTGTTTGGTAAATGAATGAATCTAAATAAATTTTTATTTCAAAATAGTTTAAAAATTATTTATTTTATAGATCACTGCAAGGTGATCTACACAGGTTCAGTTAATGAGGATCCATTCAACATAAAAAGACTTGCTTAGATGTCGACTAGATATTCTGTTTGCGGTGATGCGCCAAAGTTTTAAAATATTTTGAGATAAAAAATTTTTCAGAGTTTTTTAATGTAGATCAAAAGTTGGTGTAGAACTTGATATGACCAAATCAATGAAAATTTTCTGGATATCTTTCTGTTTTCCTCTTTTTTCAAAGGCACTAAATTTTTTATTTTGATCTTTCTTCTTTACATTCATCTTGTTTTGTCATTTATGCATAAAATATTTGCCAAATATTCATGAAATAATTTCTTTCTAAGAAATTTTCGTAAAGGAAAATTTTACTTATACTTACCTTATACTTTATTATTGTGTTTTATGACTTTATTATTGTGTTAAAGCAATTTAAAAGTCATCTCTCTGCTAGATTTGTTGATTTCCATTGAGATTTATTTTGATTGATATATTATTTATTTATTTATTTTGATATATGCGGTATGTTGTAGTTGTTGTAGTAGTATGTTTTAGGTATGATAGATGTATATATTGTTATATTAGGATAACAAATAAACTTCATGAGCAAGATGTTCAAATAAATATGATTGTAAGCAATCATAATTTATTTGTAGAAAAGAAAAAGAGATGCAACCTTGGAAAGCTGGGATAGTGGCTCAGGCTTGGCAGAAAAAGCAGGTATAATTACACTTACAATACAATTTTGGGTTTTGTTGGGAAGAGAAAGGGCATCTTTAAAAGAACCAAAATATGACAGCATTGTTCTCTACAGAGACAAATAAGAGATTTGCTGACGTAGAAAGAATCAGCAGTAAAAGAATCAGCAGTAAGAAAATATCAAGTATAGTGAAGTAATGTAACCTTATCTGCTAAGTAACCTTAGCAGATAAAAACTTTGCAATGGATTCTATACATGGTTTCCACGAATTTGGAATATTTGAAGGTATTGAATGATAGTTTAAGAAAACATTAAGTAGAAGGTTGTTATTTGTAAATAACTGGTTTTGAAATTGGGCCGGGGTGTGGCTTGTGATCAGGACTACGTAAAGATTTATACATCCTAAAATAAAAATATTTTTTTAACAAATAAACATCATCATGATCAATATGATTATCGTAACAATTATCATCATCATCATGATCACGATTTTAAGCTCTGTTATTTTCAGTTTACTAAATCTTGAATCTTATCTCAGATGATAGATTCTAGAAACTTTTGAAACATCTTCAACAGTGTCATTAACTAAACCAAGTCTAACATTTAATCTCAAATTCATGGATCTGATCTTTTTCTTCAGTTTGAGGAGTTTTCTTCAGTGTTTTTTTAAATAGAAAACATTGATGCTATTTTTCAACAAACAAAAAAAAAATGAAATTTTTTTGACCTTAATTTATTAAATAATTTAGAAAGTATTGAAGAGAGTTCAGAAGAACATTTCGATAAGACTATGACAAGAATGTTGTTTAAACCACAAGCAGTAAATGAGTTTAAGATAGAAATAACTTTAGAAACTTAAACCAGAGCGATTTAGCTGTCTTACAATGAATAAACCTATTTCTCTGACAGGAAATGTGTAACCATTAGTTTCTAGAGATGAATTAGATGAAATGTTGTTTGCAAATAATTATGTCTTATCCTTCAGAAAGATCTAAAGTCGTTTATTAAAGATGAATTGTATTAATGATGACTTAATGATGGCTTCATTAATGATAAGTTTTCCAAAAGTCATTTTCATAATTGGAGCTTAATAGCTGACAACACATTTCTTGCAATAATAAATATTTTTCTTAAGAGTGCTGGTCTTGTGGAAATGATGAAAAAAATTCTTACAATTAGAAATAGCAGTTGTACAAAAAGGTGAAAACTGGTAGAATGAGGCGAAAATGAATATTATATATTTTACAATCACCATTGATAGATGATATACTTTGTTTGTTGTTAAACATGTGGCTAGGTTAGGTCTGCAATTTCTGGCATATGAATATAGTTTTTATATATCATCTCTTTCTTGCTAGGAAATTTTCCTGCAAGAAACTGAAGGATTAAATGTTAAAAGAATTCTTTGTAATAGAAAGCTGCTTAATATCTAGCAAATAATTAGCAGAAAATAGTTATTTATAATAGACTGAGGTTTTTAAATCTGCATTTTCTTGTTAAGCTTAAAATGTGCATGTTTTGCTATAGTTTGCTTGTCTGTCAATATTTTGACAATGTGGTCCATCTTTGTACTGATTGTTATTCAAAGATGAACCACCAATAAAAAACGCTATTATGACAGCTGAGAAATTTTACTACTGTTGATCGGGATTTTTGAGTAACTCTATCAATAGCTATTTAAGTAAATGTAACGAGTCAGCATATTTGCTCTGAGTTAGCAAAAGAAGCTTGTGCTGGAATTGTTGTAAATGATAGAGGCTATGAAAATAGCTGGAGAGGAAGTTATAGTTCAACATCATAATCAGACTGTTAAATATTTTATTTTCAAATATTATTAAATATGACTTATAAAGACTTAAATATGACTTTGTCATATTTTTGTCAATATGAACATTAACAATACTTAAAACATGGTTGTTTGTAACATTTGATGATCGCATAGAGCATGGAACTCCGAGTCATGTTTCAAGTTCAATTGTAATTATTCTATTCTTCTTCTTTGTATTAAGCAGTCTATCAATACAATTTACTTTTATTATTACATTTTTTAAAAATATTTTATAAATTTTATTATTTTCGAAACTTTTCTATAGTTTCACTTCTTTTGAGATCTAAGTTGAGGTGCTCAGGCTTGGTCAGGTAGCGGGAGTTATTACTCTCGAAAACTCACCACGGAAATAATATTAAGTTGCGAAAAACTGGCCAGGTTTTTTAGTTGTATTGAGAACATTTAAGTTTATGTACCTAAAAAAAAGTTTTTGTTTTATGGACATACATGGAAACATAGTAAACTTGAATTTTCTCAAAACATTTTGTTGAAACAAAGCCTCAGTGGCTTTGTTGCAACAAAACTTTTATTTTATTTTAAAGATTTTTAAGAAAAGAAGGAATTAAACATTTCTCTTTTTTTTTTTTTCTTTGCATTGTAAGTGGTTCTCCTAATTCTTGTTAACAGATCAGTTGATTTGGATCATCTTGACCAGTTAATCAGGTGTAACTTTCATCAAAAAGGGGTAAATTTTTCTACAAATTATTTACCACTGTCAATGCTCTTATTATAAAGTTTTTACACATATGAATTTACTTTCTGGAAGGGAAAGATTAATTTCCCAGATATGAAGGATTTATTTACTTTCTAAAAGTTCTAAGGCTTTAAGATATAATAACATGCGAATTATTATAAACTATTAAATAAAAATTGCATAACTAATGTATTATTGTTATTGCTAAATGTGTTAATTAAGTAATTAGGTTTTGTTTTTTATATGTATATGTTTTTGTTTTTTATTTTAATGTTTAGTTATAAATTTATTGTTATTATTATGAAGCGGACATCTGGTCTGTGGGATGTATAATGGCTGAATTAATAACTGGTAGGACTTTGTTTCCAGGCGACAATGGTATCTTTTCAGTTTGCTTGTTTTACCCATCTTTATACTTATTGTAATCAAACTCTTTAAAAAAGTTATAATTTCTGTTACAGCTGTTAAACACATTTTGTTCAATAGCAAAGTTTTGGTAAATTTCTTAACTTATTTTAAAGAAATTGACCAAATCACTATGATTATGGAGTTGGTTGGGAAACCTAATGATGATTTTCTAGATAAAATGACAAGTGTCCAAGTAAGTATTTATTTATAAAACTAAAATTTTTTTTTATTATGTTTATATTTTTTCTTTTTAATATATACTTTTAATGAAATGTTACTCTTTAATCATTAAATGTTAATATTTTTTAGAAAGAAAATATTGATATATTAATGATTTACATGATTAATATTAATAGGTTAAGACCGGAGTATATAGTTGTGATATTTTTTAGTATTTTCTTGAAAAAGTTATAGATTTTTGAAATTATAGTTTTATGTTACTGTTGTTTTTCCAGTTTTTTTTTTAAGATTTTTGGTGGCATGTAAGATTATAAAAAAAAAGTCATGAAAAACAACTTTACACTTTTTTATGTTGGTAATATATCTGATCAAACCAAAAAGTTATTTTAGAAAGTTTATAGGTTTACAATGTTTTTTAATTATAATTAAAAAACATTATAAACCTATAAACTTTAATTTAATTTTTACCTCTTTCAAAATTTCTAATTGTTTTGACCAAAGAATCCTCTTCCTGTAGAGTTCAAATCATTTGTTGTTTATAAATTTGTATGCGCAGAATCTAATTTCTGTTATATAGGCAGGGCCTATTCTGGGAAAAAAATTTGGGCAACATCAGAACTAAACAGTCTTTTTTATCAGCATATTTATCGATAATTTTGTTATTATTTTTTCAGTTCCTCTAAGGCATCAGGTTCCTTTTTTGTAATATATTTTACTTTCATTCCACTAGTTCCTTATGTCCAGATGGTCTAAATGGAAGACCAATAGTGGAAGGTTCTTTTTCATCTAATCAACACCATAGTGAATTCATTAAAAAAAAATTATCACCTCTTGTACCAATATTAACAACATATATCAAAGATGTTTGGCATTTCATTAGAGTGCTAGCTAATAGTATGGAGTACCAAAATACCACTTCATGCAGTGTTGATATCTCTATAAAAAAAAGAGAAGAGAACAAAATTATACCTGTTGTAACTACAAATTTTGAAAATTTTTTAACTACTCTACATAGTAATATAAAATTGTCTGTTTTTGACAATAAATTAAAATTAGTTTTTGAAAACACTTCTATTGTACTATCACAATGTCTACCAAAAATTATTTGAAGACACATAAGTACTTCAAGTTTTAATAGGGAACCAGTTTTTATTAACGAAGAATGCTAGAATTTAAAATAGGTTTCAAAATGTTGTTATGTACTATGTAACTTCCTAAAGTATGAAACGTTTAAAAAATATCATCTAATTCCAAAAATATTATTGTTCACGAGGCAATTAGTGTAAATAATAGTTTAATGTAAATAATATAGTTGTATTATAAACGTCTCTAAGCGTCATATATTGACATTAGAGATTTCTTTAGCTAATGAGGTAATTAGCGAATTTTGTATATAGATCATTATAAAGTTAGAAAATGCCTATAATATCTCTCTTGGGGAAATATTATATGGTATAAATAATCGTGTATAAATTTATAAAAAGTATCATTTTTTGAGTTAGCTATTAACGTTCTAATTGAATTATATAATGCTGAAATAAGTCACGTATTATTATTGAGTTTAATACACCCTACACGCTTTTACACAAACAATTATTTATTTTCTATCATGTAATGAATGTGATGGAAAAACAACATACATTGGTAAAACTAACAACCTAAGATTAAGAACCAATTTACACATGCCGAACATGTATTGGTTCAGATAAATTTGATCAGCATGTTTTCAATTGCAATATAATAAACCATTTTTCAAATTATTTCCTATGTTAAAACTCTCAATTTTGTAAACTGTAATTATTTTATATATGTAATTTAATTTATTTTGTTTAGGCTCGTTCATACATAAAGTTTATGCCAAATTATGTTCCACAGGATTTCAACAAAGTATTTCCAATAGCAACAGCACAAGGTATATGTTAAAATAATTGACTTATTTCATTGTTTTATTAAAAAAACTTTTTAAAACATTTTATTATTTGATTTGATTGACTTGAAAAACATTTGCAAAAATTTTTTTCTTTTTATTATTGACATGGGTTGATATTATAGATTAAAATAATGTTTATTTTTAAATAAAAGCATCACTAAAAATTTTCAGCTAGAAATATTTTGCAACAAATGCTTGTGTTTGATCCAGAAAAACGATTATCTGCTGAGCAGTGCTTGCAACATCCATACTTTATCCACTGGCATGACCCTGATGATGAACCAACAGCTCCATTTTTTGAAAAAGTATCAGAACTTAATGAATGTACTGTTGATGCAATAAAATGTAAAGGTTTCAACATTTTGATTTTGAAATTTTAACACAGCATACATTTATTCATAAGTTGTTGTTTTTTATAATTTAGTACTGATGTTGAATGAGATCAGAAATTTTGTTTACAAACCTCCTCCAAATGAAGTCATTGAATAAAGATATTTTGTTTTTTTATTATATGATACTTATAGCAATTTTTTTTTAATCAATATTGGCATTTAGTGTATTTTTTCTAATTAAACAGAAAAAAATATTAAATTTAACAACTTTTTTTAGATTTAATTTATAAATATTTTTGTAGTATACAATGGTTTTTATTTTTATAGGTTTATCTTGGTTTGTATCTTTTTTTTATCATGTATTTTTTGTCATATTTCATTAAACTGGTGTTATTTAATATTTTTATATTATATATATATATATATATAGTGAATTGTGTATAGAAATAATTTGTTTTGTACATTTAAAAAAAATGTTTCCTTTTTTTAAGTAATTCTTATTTTTAAAAATAAACAAAATACATGCTTGTTCAGAGAAATCACTGAATTTAATTTTCAGCTTACTTGCAATACTTGCTTGTTCAATGAAATCTTGATTATAAGACGAGTCCCAGATTTTTATTATATAATTAATACTACTTAAAAAAAAAAGATTTGACGAAATGTAATATTTGGAAAAATGTGACAAAATATATGTTAATATAATATTTAATTTATTTTATATATGCAGGTATAAAAAGTTTCTCTTTCTGTATATATATATATATATATATATATATATATATATATATATATATATATATATATATATATATATATATATATATATATATATATATATATATATATATATATATATATATATATATATATATATTAGGGTCGGTCATAAAATTTTTCCTTAGAGTTGGTAACCTGGCTATCGTCTAGAAAGTTGTTTTTTTATGTACTAACTTAGGAAAGTATTTACTTTTATGGATTAAACAATGTCTTCCACCCGCAACTATAATTACAAAAAGTAGCAGGCTCTATTATTATTCAAAAAAAAAGTTTTTTAAAATTATGTGACGTAGGTACTCAAATAAAGCGAAATTTTATAAAAATTTCAAAAATAATAATTTTTTCATATAAAAATTTATTGTTTTAGATTTTATTGCATAATAACTATAGTTTTTTAACTAAAAGTGAAAAAGGTGCATTTTTACATGTTTTTTAATAATAATTTTTTTTCGGCAATATGATTTTTATAAAAAAGATTATTATTTTGGAATTTTTTATAAAATTTTGCTTCTTTTGAGTACCAGGTTGACCTACTTTTGAAAAACTTTTTTTCTCCAAAATATTAGGGTACCGGTAATTTTCCCAATAAAGTTGCGCCCTTTAAATCTATCACAATCATTCTCATATTTGATAGTATCAATATTAATAACTATTAGCAATGTTTAGAGCCTGTAACAAGAAAAAAAAAAAAAAAAAAAAAATATATATATATATATATATATATATATATGTATGTATGTATGTATGTATGTATGTATGTATGTATGTATGTATGTATGTATGTATGTATGTATGTATGTATGTATGTATATATATATGTTTATATTAAGTTTCTTACTTTTTGTCACAAAGTTTTAACTATATTTTTATATTGTTTAATCACTATTGTTTTGTGTCACTCCTTCAATTAGATTTATTTTTATGCAATAATTTTTAAATGTTTGTTTTTTACTTGTTGGGTTTTTGTTGTTTTTATTAGCTTGTCATTGTTTTTAATTTTAATTTTATTGCTATTTGTAGTTACAGACTACAAGAAATACTATCAATTAGGTCATGTAAATAGTTTTAAGAAATATAATGCTTAGCTAGCTCTGAATCTAAAAAGAAGTTTTGTTTGTTGGTAATGTGTTTATCCCTATCACTCTGGTCATCCAAATAAAATCACAAATTAACCCTACTAGTGTGTTTTATTTTGCATCATCTTTTTTTGTGTGTGTGTGTGTTTTTGTAATATTGATTGAATTTAACTATACCCTAATTCATTAGGGTATAGTTAATTAAACTATACCCTAGTCATCAGCAGTCATTTGCTGACCTTTACACTAATTTTATGGGTCTTTTGATTTAAAACTATATTGGCTAATCTTTGAAATAAAACAAAAGTAGTTAAAATCTTTTAAATTTTACTCCTATTTTGTAGAAAGCCAATACTCTATGATTGCTTGGAGGTATCATTTCAGCTTGAAAAGGATCTCACTTCTGCTACAGCATGGATTTTTAAATCCTTCCTTACCAATCATAGTATAAAAATTGTCCTCAACTGACAGCACTTTACTTCATTTCCTGTAACTTTAGGAGTTCCTCAAGTTTCAATCCTTGACCCTATCCTTTTTTTAATTTACATTAACTCCCATTATCCCTCAGAAATTTTCACATCTTAGGTGACATTGTTCGCTGATGGTATTACCATTTATTCTCTTCTTGATAAGAGCACTCTCTGATTGCTTGGAGGTGGTATTTGAGCTTGAAAAGAATCTCACTTTTGCAACAGCATGGGGCTCTCTGTGGCTAGTGAACTTGAACTCAAATAAAACTTTGTTTTCAGCTAAATGTTATCACAATAATCTAGATCTTTCTATATCTATGAATAGTAATGTACTTGATGAGTTGTCTAACCTTCAGCTTCTAGAATTAACTTATACTTTTGATCTTTCTTGGAAACCAAATCTGATTGTAAAAAGGTAGCATTTTTTTATCGTACTCATCACTTTCTTACTTCGAATTCATTCTTTATCTCTATAAATCTCAAATCCATCCTTGTAAGGAATACTGTTTCCATTTCTTGGGTGGATCTTTTAGATAAGGTACAAATGATCTTTGAATGATGTCCTGTCTCTTTTAGATAAGGTACAAAAACATATTGTAAACAAAGCTGGACCTGCTCTTGCAGCCAACCTTCAACCATCGTCACATGGTTGTAATGTTGCTTCTTTTTCTCTTTTCTATAAATACTATAATGAGCGCTGCTCTAAAGAATTAGTCTCTTGCGCCATCTACTAAATTTTATTCTTGTTTTACTTGTCATTCAATTAAGTCTCATCCTTTTATTGTGACTATTCCTAAGTGCTTTAAAACTTTGTGTACTTCTAGTTTTTTTCCTGGAATACGTTTATTTGTTTTATTTATTTTATTACACGTTTATTTTGTTTATTTCTTTAGATTTCGCTCCCTTCATCTTGTTTTCCTGATTCTTATAATTTTTTAATGATTGTAATTTTTTAAGTTGTTTATTAATCATTATCTTGCTTTATAAACTTCATCTTTTCTCTTCCAGTAACTTCCAACTCTAATAGTGGTTGTTTGCTGCTTTTTTAGCATTATATTAAAATTTATATCTGTATGGTTAAAACATTATCAGTGAGATTTTCTTGGAAATGGCAAGACTTCCAACTGGATTTTATCGAGAAGAATTAAACAGAACCATATGGGAGGTCCCGGAAAGATATCGGGATTTAAATGCAATTGGAACAGGAGCCTATGGTCAAGTTTGGTAATTTTATACAAATTAGATATTCACTATTTTTTTACAAATCATAATATGGTTTTATTTTCATTATTCTTCTTTAAGCTTTTGTTTGCATTTTTCTAACTTTTCTTCAAATTTTTTTTTTCTTTAAATTTCTTTTTATGCTTATATATAAGTTGCATTATCACTATAAAAGTAATATATTGTTTTTTTGTTACGTTTTTCTTAATTTTTTATTAAGCTCCGCAAAAGATACTATGACTGGCATGCAAGTAGCCATCAAAAAGTTATCTAGACCATTCCAATCAGTTTTGCATGCAAAAAGAGCGTATCGTGAAATACGTTTACTAAAACATATGTGTCATGAAAATGTATGTTTTATAATTTTACTTAAATAAATCTTAATATATATATATATATATATATATATATATATATATATATATATATATATATATATATATATATATATATATATATATATATATATATATATATATATACATACATATATGTATATATATATATATACATACATATATGTGTGTATACATACATATATGTATATATATATACATACATATATGTGTGTGTATATATATATATATATATATTATATATATATATATATATATACATATATGTACGCACACCTTGTTCATCCACATTTAAAGTAATTTTTTAAGATAACTTGACCACGTTTTTATATAGTAGCATTTTAAGAATTTGCAGCAAAAAAATATATAAGAAATACAGAGAATAAAAGTATAAGAAATACTTGAAGAAAGGAAACAAATATAGTTTTTAGTTTATTTTATTTAGATTTTCTATATGAAATAAAAAAATCTAAATACAAATAAACTAAAAAAAATTTAATGTTAAGAAAATAAAAATTTTGTCAAAAAAATAATATACCTAAATGTTTTACTGTTTTTATTTTCTTTTTTTTCTTTAGAGTATTTGTTTTTTTCCACTACCAAAATTGATAAAAGTCGAGAAAATAAGCGGATAATATATTGAAACAATATATTGAAAATAAAAGCATTTTTTGTATACAATTTATTTGCGATTTTTGTCAATCAGTATATTAAGAAAACACTTTATTATTTGCACTGGAAATATGGACAGTTTTGAAAGTTGTTTTTCGAATGTTTTTTTTAAGTTTTTCATGTAAAAAAAATTACTTATTAATACTAATATTCAAATATAAAATATTTGATTGTTTTCACTATCCCATTGAAATAGTGTGCAGTTTTGTTGGACTCTCCAAATTGTGCATAAACTCAATAGTTTATTTCCTAATGAACTGCTGATATTGACAATGCTCCAAAAGCTTGTGGGCTAGTGCATTTTTAATTTAATGAACTTTTTTAACAAAATTTTTAGGAGCCTATTTAAAACTTTTTTTTAAGTTTTTAAATACATTTTTTTAAACAGAGCAATCATTATGTTCACTATCTCTAGTAATTTGTATTGATGTCGGAAATTCGGAAATATAAAGGAAATAATTTTAGACAGGCACCAAATGTGGTAAATACATTTATAAAAAGAGTTGCAGTTCTTTGATTTAATTTTTTCCGTCATTACAAAATTTGTTAATCAAATAATATATTTTATATGTAGCAAACAAATAAATATATTTTCTTATTTTTCTATTATATATGTATTAAGAAAAAATGTCAAGTATAGCAAAAACATTTTTAAAAGTGAAAAGACTTGAAAACAAATAAGTAGAAGAAAAAAAATTTAACAAAAGTATTTCTCTTAGTTCTAGTGTACATAGCTAATTAGTTTCTTTATTATAAAGGCTGATAAAAATTATGAATAAATTGCAAAATCAAAACTTTCAATTTTTGTTCAATAGTTATAAAATATGTTTTTTTTCTCAACTTTAATTAATACTAAAAATAACAACCACCCTGAAAAAAGGAATACAAAAGTTGAATAAAAATTTTATGCTAAAAAAAATTTTTTTTTCTTCTTTTTCTTAGTTCAAATTGTTAAATTTTTTAAGTTTATTTAATCAAAATTTGATATTTTGTTATAATTTTGTTTCCTTTTTTTTTTTTTTTTTTCAGTTGATAAATTTAACTTTTAGCTACAAATTATTGAAACGTCTAAAAAAAATTAAAAGATGCCATGGTCAGTGTATCTAATAAAATTACTTTAAATGTGGACAAACAAGGCATGTGGCTGTACGTCACATGCCTTATGTTTATATGTAAGACATGTACCAGGAAAATTTTGTCCATGTTCTGATGTGGTGTTTACAGAAACCGTGCCTTACTTTAATTAGCTAGCTGTTTTAAAATGTCATTGTATTAGTATTATTCAAAATTTAAACAACTCTGATTTCAAAACAATTAGTTTTGATTGAAATATCATCAAACAAAGATAAACAAGAAAAAATTTTGCGTTTTCTGGTTGAAAATCCTGCTGTATTACACAAAACAATTTCAAATAAGTTACAAAAAATTTTAAGAACAATGTGAAACAATTTAAAGACATTGGTACAATCAAAAAGAAATTAGAAAGTGAAAGAAAAAAGTTTTTGTTCGACATGATCATTAAAAAAGTGACTACTCTAGGACAACTTTAAACTAGCTTAGAGAACACAAAGTATATTTCATTAAAAAACACTGCAATCTACCAAATTTTTCTGAATTACCTCCTATCAAAAGATATTGGGCTAATGTCAGAGGAAAACTAAAGTTCGATGTAAAAGAAGCTAAAAGCATTCAAGACAAAAATAAATGGATTAGAGCTAGCTAGAAAGTCCAGCCGAAGACTGTGCAAAAGCTGATGTCAAGTCTAAAATGCAAAGAATGTGCATTCTTACATACACAACTTCATAAACTTACTTAAATGAAGTTTAATAATATTAATATATGTACTTTTAAAGTGAATAACATTCAATATCGAAATAAAATAGTTGAATAAATATCCTTTTAATTTTCTGCGCAAATATTTTCTGGTACATGTCTTATGTATGTATATGTATGCATGTATGTATGAATGTATGTATTTATATTGTTATCCTTGCAAATTTAAATTGGCACTATTCTAATATATCTTAAACACTAAACATCTAAATATGTTGACTCACAAACCACAAACAGTTTTTTCAGAAAAACAAAAACAAGCTTTTTTTTTTTTTTTTTTTTGTAGTAAAAGTTCTTTATATTTTTAGATGATGCATGAAACCCCCTTTCCCTAGGGAAAAAACCTTTCCCTAATTTAGTATTATATCATTAATTTTTACTTTTATATCACTCTTATTTTTTTTATATTTTTGTTATAGGTAATAAGTCTCCTTGATACATTTACCCCACAACAGACTTTAGAAGAGTTTCAAGATGTGTAAGTTAGATTCACTTTTTTTTTTTTTTTTTTTTTTTTGTCAGCTTGTTTTAAGTGTTTTTCTTCAGCCTAGCATATGTGCTCAAGTTTAGTGTTTGGGTTTTTCATTAAGAATGCATAACAATACAGTCAATTTTATTCACCAAAAATTAAAATCTTGAACTCTCTAAGAAGACATTTAAACAATAAAATCTGTCTAGATTTTCTTGTCCCATGTTAGTTATGTGCATCAATCTAGATCAAGATTGGAATGATGCTAATATCACGGTAGTTATTCGGATCAATCAATGACTTTTTATTAAATTTAACAAGTGGCATAATAAGTGATGTAGACATAGATTTTGGGGTCTGTCCATGAATAATGTAAAAATTAAAGAATTTTCTGAGCAATTTTCTTGCTTGCTTTAGAAACACAATATGTATGATTCTAACACACTGATTTTGTGGTTTTTCAGCTTCTCTTAAAAAATACTCTTTATATAGTCATTATATAGTATAGAGTATAGAGTCATATATAATATAGAGTTTACTTATAAAGTTTACCAAACACTTGTTTTTTAAAATTTCTTTATTGTTACCATAAAAAAATTTTATTTAAAAACTTGGCAATTTTTTACCTCAGC